AATAAAATAAAACATTAAAATCGAAATGTATCTCGCTGTATTGCGCGACTTCTATTCTAGTTATAAACAATATTAACTAATTTTCAATTTATATTTATTAATATAGTAATATTATTAATGTGAGTTAATTTATTAATATTTATTTATAATTAATAGTAATAAATAATAATTAATATTAATGGATAATTGAAAAAAGTAATAATAAGCTACCAAAAAGCTATTCAAAGTAGTGTTTCAATAAACTAGCTTATGTGCATCTAAACAAGTATCTAGAAAATAAGCTAACTTATTTTTGCCAAACAATGCCTTAACAAAGTACAAATTTAGCTCTTGTACTATTTACCAACATGTAGATTTAGGGTCGTTTACCAAACACTTACCCGGTTCGCGCTTACTAGTAAAATTTAACACTAACATTTACTTACCGGGTAAGACTTTAGTCCACCAAAACGACATTATATGCAACAATTTACCCAGTAAGTGCTTACCATAGTAAGAGTCGTCGCCCTTACTTACAGGGTAAGACTTTCTGTCCTTGTCTTCCTCTTACCTACCTAGTAAGATTCTTGATCCTTACCATATTCATTCGGTAAGGTAATGTGATTTGGTAAGCATTTACCTGAATAATCGTTTGGTAAACGACCCTTTAGTCTCTTAAGAATTTTCTTTTTACATTTTGCCATTCAAATTTTTCTCTCATTAGATGAGTTGCTCCCATTTGGTGTTTATGGAGTACCGTGCACTTATAGTGCCATATACTCGGCTAAGAGGCATATGTCTATAAGACAACATGCACATGGTGATTTGCCGAAATTAGCCTAAAAGGATAAGTGGACTGCTTGGTAGTGCTCCTTTACTGATTCCGGTTCCTGTTGTGGGTCACGTCCACGTGGTGCGATGCTTGTTACCTCATTTTAAAAGTTATAACCACATCTTTCATTTATTCGATTAAAGTAATGTGTTGGTTTACATATTACCCATGTTCACTCTCATGGAATTCTTGGATCAATTTTGATTTTTGGTGTAATGTTTGATTATACAGCTCTTGAATTCACCATTCACCAGACATGAAGCCTGATTTGTTTTTATTTTTTATTTTCGACGTGTATCCAAGAACCAAGATCAGAGGGTATTATTGACGATGTAACCATCGATAGATAATCTTATTGGTTGATACAGTGTCTTTGACTATCGCTTAGGACCTAACAATCACAAACAGCATCCACCGCAAATGCTAAACAGCTACACTGAAAACGAATTTTAATGATATATTCAAACTGGAATATACTATCTAGCTTCCATTTCTGTAATGGTTATATTGTTCACAGAGTGATCATCGGACATCCTTTTCGTAGAAGTCGACCTTGATGCACCTGTGCCAATGAAGAATGCTGGCCGTTTTGGGGTCGGTAGCGACATAGTGTCGTTGATAAGCATAGAGATCACGTCCGACATCACCGGTCTGTCCGTTGCGTTTTCTTGTACACAGAGAAGTGCCACATGAATAGTCCTCAACAATTGGGGTACTACACAAGTATTTGCTAGTGTTGGGTCCTCGAAATCTAGTGCATCCCCTTGTTGCCATAGCTCCCATGCCTGAAACCATTTCAATGTCTTCAACTATTCATGAAGAGGTAACACTGACTTTTAGGTCAAATGAATTCTAGGGGATTAGGGGTGTACAAAAAACTGTCAACCTGCGAAATCAGCCCAACCCAATTCGTTAACAACTCAATTAAATCTAACCCGCCAAATTAGGAGGGTTGAAATTGGGTTGGGCCTAGCTCAACCCGTCGCTAATATATAATTTTTAGAAATATATATGTTTATTATGTGTGTATATATATTAATAATGTATATTTTTATATAATTTTTATTGATGTAATGTTTGTATTTCATTTTATCTAAACGTATACGTTACCAAAAGAGATTCACGATTAAAGAAAATGCTTAGTTATAACATTTCGCTACAACAACATTAGATCTCATAGAATGCCTAGAATGTCTAAGCGTCCTAATATGATCCTTTATAGGACGAAACAAGAAAAATGTCTTATCTAAAAGAGTTACAATATGTTTATAGGATGATTTTGGGCGTCTTAACAAATTCTATGACGCTTTTAAAATAAAGTGTTGTATTAGTTATTTTATACGACACTTGAAAAATTGTCATATGAACATAAGTGTCCTATAAATAGATGAGTTTACGGGACACTTCTTAAAATATTTCAACAAAATAACTAATACGACATTTTATTTAAAGATCATTCTAAAACACTTGTCGAAACGTCCAAAAACGTCCTATAAACCTATTGTAAATTTTTTAGATAGGACGCTTTATAGTATGATATATAAACTTAAGTTTTATGAATTATTTCATTCGTCAAATTTATGCGAACCCTCTGGGTTAGGTTGGGTTATACTTTTGAATTGATTGGGTTGGGTTGAGATTTTTCCAAACCGCCATAATTAGGTTGAGTTGTAAAAATGTTGTAAACCGCCCAACCCAACCCAACCCAACCCAACCCAACCCAACCAGCGTACACCCCTAATGAATTCTTGTTTAATAAATGAATTCTACTAGACTTACGTATCCGATTAGATTGACCGTCTTGTCAAGATAAGAGAAGCTCGTGTTTCTTCTTCCGCTCACGATTTCTAAGGTTAAGACGCCAAAGCTGAAGACATCCGACTTCACCGAGAAAGTCCCTTCCATTGCATACTCCGGAGACATGTAACCACTTTGCAATATATTTGAATTAGACCCAATATTTACGAACCAAACATTACTTAAAAAAGTAGATCAACAAATCGTAAATCTAGAAGAGATCGAGCGTTCTTACTACGTTCCAACGACCCTCCTAGTCATAGCTTCGGTCTCATTTTGTTTGAAGATTCTTGCCATACCGAAATCAGCGATCTTGGGGTTCATACTTTCGTCTAACAAAACGTTACTAGCTTTGAGATCTCTATGTATAACTCGCATTCTCGAGTATTTATGTAGATAAAGCATGCCTTGAGCAATTCCTTCGATGATGTTCCAACGTTTCGGCCAGTCTAACAGCGCCTTCCTCGTTTCGTCTGTTCAAATAAGTTCAGCAGCTCAGGCGTGTACAGAAAAATTGAACTCGTTATCGACTTTTGGTTCGATAATTCTCTTACCAAAGATAAAGAAATCCAAGCTCTTGTTCGGCATATACTCGTAAACTAACATCTTGTCTTCTCCATGAATACAACAACCAAGAACCCGGACAAGATTCGTATGTTGAAGTTTGGCGATAAGTATGAGCTCGTTCTTGAATTCCACAAGCCCTTGTCCTGATGTTCTCGAAAGCCGTTTAATTGCAACTTCTCGTTTATCTCGAAGTATCCCCTTTTCTCGTAAGCACATAATATCGCGTTTTGTCAGATTGCGATAGCAGTTCTAAAAACACAGCTCATGTAAGATAAAAATACCTTATAAACAGGTCCGAAACCACCCTCTCCGAGCTTATTTTCACTTGCGAAGTCGGTCGTGGCAGCTGCTATAGAAGCAAAGCTGAACACAATCAGCTCACTTCCTTTTCTGCCATTGCTTTGGAGAACAGTTTCATCATTGAAGCCGTCTGAAGCCATAAGCTCAAGGAAATATTCGTCCTCTCTCTTTTGTCTCCTCTCCTCTACAATCAAAATCATAACTTCGAAGGTGTAATAAGACTACATTACTTGACCAAATCATTGTCTGTATCAAGTGTCATACCTTCTCGTCTAACCTTTCGCTTCTTAAGATACCGCAACAGCCCGATGCAGAACAAAGCTAGAAAAATGGCGGCAAAAATGGATGCCCAAATCCTGTTCTTAGCGTTTCCTGTGTATAGTGTCTAATGTAAGACCAAGTCTATATATGAAACACAAACTTAGAGTCAGGATCCGTTTACCAGACGCTTGTTGGCAAGAGTCATCACCTCATTGGGTAACATTATCGGCCATCAAAATGGTTTGTGGTAAACATCTTTTACCCAGTAAGCACTTACGGGTAAGTAAAGGGCAGTTTACCCAAATGATTACCAGTAAAATTCAACCCTATCACTTACTTATCGGAGAAGATTTTAGCCTATCAAAACGGCATCGCATGCAACAATTTACCCGGTACGTGCTGACCGTGGTAAGAGTCGTCGCCCTTACTTATCGGGTAAGACTCCTGGTCATTGCTTTCGCTCTTACCGGGTAAGACTCTCAATCTTTGTCTTCGCTCTTACCGGGTAAGATTCCTGGTCTTGCCATATTCATCCGAGAAGGTAATGTGACTTGGTAAGCATTAGGTAAACGGCCTCTTAGGTTAAGATTCTTAGGGGCCGTTTACTAAACACTTACCTGGGTAAGCTTTTACCAAGTTACATTGCCTCACTGGATGAATATGATAAGGGCCAAGAATCTTACCGGTAAGAGCGAGACAAAGACCATGAGTCTTACCTAGTAGTGAGTGCGACGGCTCCTACCACGGTAAGCGCTTACCGGGTAAATTGTTGCATACGATGTCGTTTTAGTGGACTAAAATCTTACCATATAAGTAAATAATAATGTTAAATTTTACCGGTAAGCAGGTAAGTGTTTAGTCCTTGCTATTATGGGTGCTCATGGGTAGAGTTGATTGGGTTGAAGGCATTTGAACAACCCAACCCAATGTTTGCAGTTTGAGAAAAAATCTCAACCCAACCCAACCCAAACCGTATGAGTTGGTCAGGTTGATACTTTGGTACATCAAAATATTCTCCTAACCTTCAATACGTTGTAAACTCTACTCATAATTCCTTTGTCATCCTCATTTTTGTACAACTTATTCATGTTCCTTAAATCTTAAATATATCACATTGAACTACTTTTCTCAATTTGCATATATATATGTTCACATTTTTAGAACATATATACAAAGGAGTCAGATAGAGATGAAGAAGATATTGAAAATATGTGTATATGAAGAGGGTATGTGATGATGTGATTGTCTAGGAGTTGGGTTCCGGTGAGAAGCGTAAGAAGGGATCTCCGACCTTGGATGCATATTAGGATGAGATGCACCGAGATGCACCAGATCAATCCCCATATCAAGAGTGATCCATGGGTAGATTTGAGATTAAAGGTGACCAAGGGTCTAGATCCATTCTTACGCTTCTCACCCTAACCCTCCTTCTTACACGATCTTTTGCCAATTGTCTAATGCACATATTAATAGGGATTTGACAATCACATTAAATCCAAGAAATAAAATGATATCGGGTTCATTGGATTGAGTTGGATTCAAATGACCATAACCCAATTCCAACCTAACACCTACGCTTTCAAGATTTTACAGCTCAATTAGACATCAGGTTGTTTTGGGTTGGGGGTTTTCGTGTTGGCTTGACCGGGTTGGTCAATTTGAGCATCCCTACTTGCTATGCCTCTTACTTGCTGGGTAAGATTCTCGATTCTTGCCATGCTTACCGGTAAGAAAAGTGACACCCAGACACTATGCAAGATTATAGCAATAGAGATACAGAACAAATTAACCCACAAATCAATGAATCAATCCAACTTATTATACCTTTACTCGGATTTGGAGAAATTAGCACATACTTCTGCACAGAATTCCCTTGCGGATTGACTGAAAAGTTATTGACTGACTTTGCTCCCGTCCATATCACACAACCAGTTTCATTGCTACTTGTGGTAAACCCCAAACAACTGCAATCATTCCAGCACCTTACCATGCAATCGCTATTGATTAAGTCTGGATTATCATCGACCGAACTGTTTGTCATGCCAGGAGTAAAATCGCCATTGAGGTGACTAAACATATCATCCTCGTTCCTACACTGAGGCAAATTAGAATCTGCCACACACCCATTACCAGAATCATACCCGTAACAGAATTCAGGGACCCAAGTTGCAGAGCTATCACCATCTATAATTTGGCCTTGTGGAGTCAAAATCCACATGGGCTGAACACCATTGATGCCATGAAAACTGAAGTATCTCTCTTCATCATTGTATACGTAACTGAGATTGTATTGGAATTGGCTGAATGGATTGTTTACACTCATGAACTCAAATGTTTGATTATCCAGATCTCCACTAGTCCAATATGGTTGTCCTCGCCGCCGGATCATTAATCTCTGAGACTTCTCTCCATCAGGTTCCCAGCTCAACATAAAAGCACCCAAATCAGGCTTTTCATTGCTCATCCAAGAAGTTAAGTTCCAACTCTGGCCCGTTCTAAGGTCTGACCCGAGTTTCATATCTGGTAAGAGTACGTTGGTTGGATGATCAAAACTCTGCCACAGAATCCGGTTGTCAGTTTCATCCTTCAGATGGAAATTTCCTGTGTCTTCAAGGGTTGCAGTTAAATTAGACCCACGACCGGATTCATTATTAGAGATATTTACAAGGGTTGTTCCTCCGGTGGCGATGATCAATTTCGAAGTGCCGGGATCGATCATGAGGACGCTGGAACTTGATGTGATGGGTATGGATGGGTTGGCTACCCATACTTTCCTGGATTGATTATCGTTGGTGTACCAAATACCTAAATAAGTGTTGTTTGTGTCGGTAATGGGGAAGAATCCTAACGTGAAGTTCCTACCGGGGGAAACAAGCTGAGAAGTGCGGTTAAGTTGGTCTCCGATGTTGATCGTTGAAACACCGGTGGCCGGAAAACAGTTGATGATTAGATTGGTACATAGAATTGTAAAGATGATGAGATAAATCATATTTCAACAATCCAAAACATATTGAATCTGGATTTGAGACTTTGATGGATTCATTATATATCCATCAGCAGCAGCCAACATCGACTATTTCTCTTTGGTCAAGGAGTTTTAGAAAAATACGTTGTTAGAAACGGCACGCAACCCCATCCGGCCACCTGTCATCCATCGTCAGCGCTTGACCACCGTGCTAAGCTTTCCGGTGGTTGGTGCAGCTGATGCAAAAGCAAAGAGCAATCCTATTTTGCCACCTCTATTGATCGGAGCAGCGGTTGACCACCGCGCTACCCGGTTGATTACGCCGACGTCTCTGGCCGGCCAACCCGCCACCATCCTTGGATGTTATGTTTTTTATTAATTAATAAAATAAAATTATGAAGATATCATAAAATTTCGAAAAAAATTATATCAATATTACTACCAAATTAACTATTTAAAAGTTTTTATTTTTTTTGTAATTTTTTAATTTAATTTTTTTTATTATGATTTAATTTAGATTTAATAACGAATAATTTTTTTTTAATTTAGATTTAATAATGAATAATTTTTTTTTTAATTTAATAATATAAATTTTATATTATTAATAATAATTAAGTATTATGTTAGAACTTAACGAATAWCCTAATTATATTTTAGATTTTTTATATTTAAAATGAAATGTTTATCTTATATTTGACTATGTTTATTTACAGTTAGTTACATAAATTCAAACATGAAACTTTAATAAGTTGTATTTACGTACAATTTATTTATAATCTTTAATAAACAGTATTTCATGCATAAAAAAATGTTATTTAAGAGTTTTTATTAAATGCTTTATAATATAGTATAGATAAATTAAAATTAAGTGTCATTAGTTTTTACAACATAAATTAAAGGGTTGATGACCCTCCATCTCCCGCCATCAAAGACCACTTGGAGAGAGTTGGTAACGGATCTTGATGGAGACTAGAGAGAGGTGAAGAAGAGAGGTTGTTGCCAGAGATTAAAGGGTTGATTTACAGTCGCCGGAGTTGGGTAGGTGTTTGCAATAGCCGTCAGAAAGAGTTTGAAGAGATGAATATTAAGGGTGTTCAAAGAAACTGTTGGACTGTTCAAACCGACCGAACCAAGTCAAACTGGATCGTTTTTGGCGGTTTGAGTGGTCTGACGGTTTAGTCTGGTCTGGAAAGTAGCAAAACCGGGCGGTCATGTCCGGTCCGGTCTGCAGTCTGAAATCTTTTTTGGGCGGTTTGGACCAAACCGACCGCCAAATATATATATTTATTTATTTATAGTATTAGCAAGCTAATTTTTTTTAACTTATGGGCTATGTCCAAAATATATATTCTTAAGCCCAACATAAAGCCTAACATCTGACATAATCAAATCCAAATAAATCGTAGTGGATTTTGTTACTTAATACTTACAGTGGAGTTGTAACTTTGTTTGTTTTCTAATATGTATTATATATTTATTTATTTGGACTTTTGATTGCTTGGATTTTGGACTCAAGAGCTGCTTAATTATTACATTTATTTGTTTAGATGTTTTATTTTGTTAAAATAGAAATTTAATCTAAAATTCTAAATTACATATGTTTTTTTAAGTTTAATATTTAAAGTCCATTAAATGACCAAACCGTCTACACCGGTCAGACCAGACCGCATTTTTGTGATCTGGTTTGATCGGTTTAGACACCTGATGTCAAACCGCTTGATTTGAAAATTTTATAAACCGTCATTACGGTTTGATTTATGATATGAGGTGTTAATATGTGATGTTAGATGAAATGCTTCAACCAAAATATGATGTGCTCATGGAGAAAGTCATTCATATGCAAATTAGAATAAGAAATGTAGGAATGATTAATCTGGTGAGTAACTTCAAATTTGTAGTTCAATTAATATTGCTTTGTTCAAAATTGATAAAATTTTAGGATAAAATGTGTGAAATAGCAAGCTACTTTTTATAAACATGTTTCACCTATTTAGTTTTTGACATTATAAAGTAAGTCATGAAATTTACAATGAACTCGATGAACGAATGATTTTGTTAGGAATACTTTTATTTGTGAAATAGTGATCTTTCGTAAACATGTTTAATTTCTGATATTATAATTTTTACTAAACATATTTGATTAAATTTACAAGATTTAAATGATAAAAATATTAAAATTAAAAGTACAATGTTGTAATAGAAATTGTGGTGATGTTATAATAAAGTAATTATGAAAATACATTGCTATAATAAGAAATGTCATGTCAACACTATCATACATGTGGACAGCCTACGTAGACGATGATGTGGCAAAGAAACCTGATATAATGGATAAATTTAATTTAAAAGGTTAACCAATGCTATAACGGATAAATTTTTGAAAGTACGATACTCTATTAAAAATATTTTAAAAGTAAATTGTTGTAATAAGAAAAACTGAAAGTAGAATGATATAATAAGAAAATTTGTATAAGCAGATTGTTATTTCGCGCATTTTACCCAAATTTTTACTATCGTAGCGAGACCATTTCCTTATATTTGTTATCAAAAAGGCTCTTGGTGTTTAATATCTGCCATCTTTGCAATGGATGATGATCTTGTGTGCATTAGCTAGCGGTTCGGGTTCGTCCAGTTGGCAAGGCCCACCTTCAACATGGACTCACTTAGAACCGAAGATCTCAACATCTTGGTCGTATTACGAATCTCGTTCCCGACTTCCATCCCTTGACCCATGTTGCTACTTATGCCTTACAGCCTCAGTCATGGACTCACCAACGGCCTGTTGCTGTCTGCCTAAATCATGCACCAGCCTTTTATAGTCTCACCTATCATTTGATAAATATGGCAAAGGTTGACAATCTTATCCGGTAAGAGCAATCATAAAGATGGAGACTCTTACTCAGTAAGTGAGGGTGATAACTGTTACTCGGTAAGCGCATACTGGGTTTATTGTTTGGGAAAATTGCACCAAAATGGAACCAACTTTCATTTAATTCTTATTTTGGCGAACCAACTTTCAAAATCGTCATTTTGGGGAACTAACTTGCATCTGATTCCTATTTTGGGGAACCAACTTACAAAATAATTATAGAAAAATAACTAAAATTCGTTTTTTTTTCAAAAATTAATGCAATAAAATCTATTTTTTATTTCAAATCTCCTTTTTTTTTAATTAAGATATCAAATTGAACATTTAAAAGAAAATCCAAATTACCACAATAAAAATTGTTTTTTACTAATAAAAAAATCAATTTAATAGAAAAATGCCCACAATGATGGGTGCCCAAATGAGCGTTATATCTGTATGAAGGTTCAAATTAAGCAGTACAACGAATAACAATTGACCCACAAATCATTGATTAAATTACGCTCCTTTAATTACCTTTACCAAGAAGTTAAATTCCAGCTTTTGCCCGTTCTAAGGTCCAAGCCCACTTTCATGTTTGGTAAAAGTACGTTGGTTGGATGATCAAAACTCTGCCACAAGATCCGGTTGTCAGTTTTGTTCTTCAGCTGGAAATTACCTGTGTCTTCCAGAGTTGCGGTTAAATTTTGCCCATGACCGGATTCATTATCGGAGATATTTACAAGGGTTGTTCCTCCAGTTGTGATGATCAGTATCCCATTGTCGGGATCGATCATGAGGATGCCATAACTTGATATGTTGATGGGTATGGATGGATTGGCTACCCATACTTTCCGAGATCGACGAACGTTGGTGTACCAAATTCCTAAATAAGTGTTGTTTGTGGCAGGAATGGTGAAGAATCCTAACGTGAAGATCTTCCCAGGGGAAACAAGCTGAGAAGTGTCATTCAGTTGATCCCCAACTTTGATGGTTGAAACACAGTTGGCTGGAAAACAATTGATGATTAGAATTGTGAAGATGATGAGAGTAATCATACTTCAACAATTCAAAATAGATTGAATTTGAATCGAATCAGCACCCAATATCGACTATATTACTCTTTCGTCAACGAATTTTGAAGAAATACGTGGTTGGAGATTGATTTTCCATATCTTCACTAGTATTGAAATACCTTTCGAAGTCAGCGGCAGACCCACTCTATCGAGACGGGCAATTATAATGGGGTCCATGTGACCGGTTCCAATTAATCGAAGCTGGTCCAGGGTATGGGGTAATTGATCGGGTCGGTTAGCGACGGACCCATAATCTAAGAGATTTTTTAAGTATTTTGGTTGATTTCGAGAGATTTTTTGTTTTTTTGATTGATGTTTACACAATAAATTGAATAAGGACCCTCCTTGGAGCTTAATAGGTCCGCTCGTGGGGTCGGTCATGTAAGGGGTTGGACCAACCAATAGAGGGTTCGGTTGAAACGACTAGGCTTTGTATTTATGATCAAATAAATAAATAACTATTTATTTGATCTTTTTCTTGGAAATAGTTGTATAAAATAAAAAGTTGTTTCTTTTATAATAAGTAAAAGTTATAATATTCAAATGCATAAACAAAAAGTTTAGAAAAATGGCAACCGGTTATGTGACTTGTTACAATAATTTTTACTTGACAATCGGTTACGACGTTTGATGACAACGCGCAATCTAGAACCCGACCGGTTAACACCCATCCGCCCGTCTTTCTTCGGCTAGAATTTAGAGTCATTTAGGGGCTGTTTGACAATTGCTGAATGGTTTGATACAGAATGATTAAGTGATCAGAATGATTAAGTAGTCAAAATGATTAAGAGACTCTCATGATATAGTGTAAATGAAATATAATTGTTTGTTAAGTATGTACAATGAAATTAGGGCTCTTAATGGTTAAGGGAGATCCATGATACAAAATCATTCATAGGGTTTTAGAACCATTAAGAGACAATTTTTTTTGTCAAACAAGATCCACCTCTTGATGACTTAGAGATTGTCTCTTAATGAAACTATTAAGAGAGAAACAAAAGTGATACCTTATGAATCTATTTCAGCGTCTCTCGTTTTTTTCTTTTTTTTCAAATTACGTCGTTTGTGGTAATTTATGTCCAGACTCTCTTCTTCGGCAACTTCACTTGAAAAACTTCCCGCTTCATATTCAATATTCCGACCTTATTTTCTTTGATTTCATCAGACTCCCAGGAAATCAAACCAGGTACATCGACTATGACTATCTCTATATCTAATTTTACGCATTGCCTTTTTTTTTTTTTGCTCCTCTTTCTCTATCTCAATTTATGCTTATCAACGAATTACGTCACTTTACAAGACTCGTTCAAGTTTTGAAATTTTGATAAGCAACAACTAGAAACAACATGGATGTATACGTCAAGCCATTTCTGTGACTTGCTTCCATTTCACCGTTTTATATCTCTTTATCAATCCAAACCATTGATTTAATTTGTGTTTATAACTGATGTAGTTGAAGTTCTTTGAATTGGGTTGCATTCATTTTTTTCAAACATATCTGAGTGTTTTTAAATGGTGAATTTCTTTCATTTAGATCTGACGTATCTCAACGGTCAATTTTTCATTCAGTATTTCATCTAAACAGAGACAGTTACCATCAATATTATAAAATAGATTAGAAACTATAGTTGATAGTGGATGAGAACCATAAAACCAAAAGTGTAATTTAATGGACTATTTTGTAATTGCTGAATAGTTTGGTCCAAAATAATTAAGTGATTAGAATGATTAAAATCCTCTTATAATATAATGTAAAATGAAATATAATTGTTTGCATTGAGATTGAGATATTGAAATAGTTAATGAAGGCTTTAGATGCAAAATCATTCGGCGGATTTTAGAACCATTAATTAAGAGTCAAACTTCTACAACGGGAAATGAATGTAATAAAAGATTTCTAAAAATTCCGATAGAACTTGATACATGGTTGTAATTGGGTTCATAGCCATTTGATTCCTTGAAATGGCTGGTCGCTCTTCCCCTCTCTTCTCAGATTTGGAATTTCAGAATATTTCGTTTTGAAAATTTATAAATTAATCTGCAGATTGTTTGCTTGAGAATTTCTTAACTTTGATTTTGTTTGTTTCCACAAATTGAGATTGATTTCTTCATTTCAGCCTTACCAAGGCCCATTTCTTGACTGGTGATGACTCGTATAATTCCTTATATAAGGATACGAAGACAGCAGCTATGAATTGCGAGACATTGAAAAAGGAACATTTTGAAGAGCTAGTTGTGTTTACGTTCATGGCAGCCTTGCTCTTTGGTTCCTTCAAGTGATCTGCTATAGTTTACAAAAAGAAGCTATACTAGAATAATTTAAATGCACTTCGTGTTGAGTCACTGCCGAACGTACTGTTCACATGTTGCAATTTCAGCTAATTGTCAGATTGCAAGGTATGGCCGCCTTGGTCAAATCGACAATGCTCGTGAAGTATTTGATCGTTTACGGGAAAAGAACATCGTTTCATGGAACTCAATTGTTGCTTGTTATTTCCAAAACAACCAACCTACTGAAGCACGGAATCTGTTCGATCAAATGCCTGAAAGAAGCACCGTTTCTTGGAACGGTTTGATTTCTGGGTATGTGAAGAATAGGATGGTAAATGAAGCCCGATATGTGTTTGACCGAATGCCTGATAGAAATGTTGTTTCTTGGACTGCAATGATTAGAGGTTATGTAGAAGAAGGTTTGGTTTCTGAGGCCGAATCACTTTTTTGGCAGATGCCTGAAAGGAATGTTGTGTCATGGACTGTGATGTTGGGTGGGCTTATCCAAGAAAATCAAATTGACAAGGCTCGTGGACTTTTTGACATCATGCCAGTGAAAGATGTGGTTGCTTGGACTAGTATGGTTGGTGGGTATTGTCAGAATGGTCGTTTGTCTGAAGCACGCCGACTGTTCGATGAAATGCCTGATAAGAATGTGATTTCTTGGACGACCATGATTTCAGGTTATGTCCAGAACGACTGTGTTGATGTTGCTCGGAAACTCTTTGAGGTAATGCCCAAGAAAAACGAGGTGTCATGGACTGCGATGCTAATGGGCTACACACAGTGCGGAAGGATGCAGGAGGCTATGGAACTTTTCAATGCCATGCCGTACAAGTCCGTGGTTTCATGTAATGCCATGATACTGGGGTTGGGCCAAATGGGCGAGGTAAGTAAAGCAAGAATGATATTCGATCAGACGAGTGAGAAAAATGATGGATCATGGAGTGCAATGATAAAAATTTATGAAAGAAAAGGCTTTGAATTAGAAGCTCTAAGATTATTTTCCTTGATGCAAACTGAAGGAGTTCGACCAAATTTCCCTTCTTTAATCAGTGTCCTTTCGGTTTGTTCCAGCCTGGCCAGTCTTGATCACGGTAGACAAATTCACGCTCAGTTGGTCAAGGCATTGTTTGATACCGATGTGTATGTTGGTTCAGTACTAATCACAATGTACGTAAAATGTGGTGATCTTATTAAGGCTAAGAGCGTATTTGATCGATCTCCCACCAAGGATACTGTTATGTGGAATTCCATCATTACAGGTTATGCACAACATGGCTTAGGAGAAGAAGCCTTGGAAATTTTCCACAAATTGTGTTCTGTCGGCATTGCTGCAGATGATGTCACTTTCATAGGAGTTCTTTCTGCTTGTAGCTACGCCGGGAAGATTGATGAGGGGCTTGAAATATTTGAGTCCATGAAATCAAAGTATTTGGTTGAGCCGAAAACCGAACACTATGCTTGCATGGTGGATCTGCTTGGCCGAGCCGGTCGGTTAGAGGAAGCAATGAATTTAATAAATAAGATGCCAATGGAGGCAGATGCTATCATCTGGGGTTCGTTAATGGGTGCTTGTCGAACCCACTTGAACCTCGAAATGGCCGAAGTTGCAGCTAAGAAACTTGTAAACTTGGAGCCCAATAACTCTGGGTCATATATCTTGCTATCAAACATATATGCTTCAAAGGGTAGATGGGCTGCAGTTGCAGACGTGCGGAAAACCATGAGATCACATAACGTAAAGAAATCACCTGGGTGTAGTTGGATAGTTATCGAGAATGAAATGCATATGTTTAGCGGGGGCGAAAGTAGGCCCCATCCCGAGCATTCATTGATTATGGGGATGTTGGAATATTTAGGGGGGTTACTGAGAGAAGCTGGTTACAATCCGGATGGAAGCTTTGTGCTGCATGATGTAGATGAAGAGGAGAAGGTGCATAGTTTGGGGTACCATAGTGAGAAACTGGCAGTGGCATATGGACTTTTGAAGGTGCCAGAAAAGATGGCAATTCGGATAATGAAAAATCTTCGGGTTTGTGGAGATTGCCATTCTGCTTTTAAGTTGATATCACAGGTGATGAGTAGGGAGATCATTTTGAGAGATGCAAATAGATTCCATCATTTTAAGGATGGCTTGTGTTCATGTGGGGATTATTGGTGATCCCCTTGCAGGACTTGTCCTTTATGTCCATCTAAATTTTAGGCTTATGTCCATAAATTTATGAATCACAAAGGACAATCCCAGAAACACAATTTCTCTCGAGAAGCAGCAGTGAGGTGGATTTTGAAATTCAATTTTCAATCTAACCAGGCCTATAAGGAACCAAATATGGCATCTTACCTTACAGAAGTATACAACTTATTTGGCATGTCTTCTCTAGCTTCTTTTACTTGGCAGAGAACAATGGCCTGCACGACTAGAACGAGGAAACCGAGAGAGTGAAAAACTAAACTAACCCTATGGATCGTAGACCATAGATAAATATACGGGTTTGAGAGGATAATACCTTTGGAACATTTGCCGCAAGAGTCTTCAAAACAGCTTCAACATAATCACATATTTCTGTGCCAACCAACAATCTCTTTCCTCTAGATCTGCAGGTTTCCTCACCAAGTAGAAATTGAAACTTAAAACTTGAAATTGAATGAGAATAGATTTTTGTATGAAAAGTCAAAGTGCAGGTGTTTTTTTTTTTGTTGGGAGAAAGGGTTATCAAGTTATATGGTTGTATTACCATGTGGAAAATGGCAATCCTTCATGTTTTGGACAGAATAGTATGAGTTTTTCCCATCTGTATTTATTGATGGTGGTTTGGAAGATTGATTCAGAGATGGAAAAGAGAGAGAGAATGAGAGAATCCTTTTGTTGTTTTCCTAAAAGAGTTTCTGTTTATTTTTCTCTTAAGATTAAACGTCAGAGGTGTGTTTGAGTTCCTGCTGCTGTTCAAGGAATCAAAGGATTTAATTAAAATCTCATTAAAGATTATATATATATATATATATATATATATAAATGACGTGTTTAATAAGATGTTCGGTGTGAGTCATGGATCTGTTCTTCGGCTTTGGCCCTTCCCTGTTTGTGCTGACCGCCCTTTCTCATCCCTTATCTGATCGTGTCCCTTTTACAGGTATGCAACAACTGTTGTTTTGCTGTTTCTTGCTGCCGGCCCGAGCTACTTGGAAAATCATTAAGAAACCCATTTGCAAGAGATTTTGAGTTTTAACCCCGCTGCATGTTTATAAGACCCTCCAAGTGTTATTTCCTCTGCCGTGTGAACCTTTAATCTCCAATCAAGTTGCAACATGCTAGCAGAAGCTTCTTATTGGATTCCTTCATATATTCCAGGTAATTCCGACTTTGATTTGAGAATTTTGGTCATATGCATTGCTGTGATCGAGTTTTTACACTGCTTTCTCTCTATGTTATTTCACACATAAAGTAGGAGTTTTGTTCATACACCTAGACAAACTTTTAGATGAATGTGGGATGCACTGAATAAATTCGTAGAAGTCTCTTAGAATCAGTGAGGAAGGCGTCCATTCATTTCAAAATCTTTCAAATTCACGAAAAGCTAGACCTAAAAAAATAGAACAATCACAAACATCATTCACCACCAATGCTAAATAGTACGGATTTTGTTGATATTGCAGTTCGCCAATAGCTGCTATGATATACTACCGAGCCACCATTTCTGTAATGGTCCTCTTGTTTATGGAGCGGTCGTCTAACTGTTTTTCAACTAAAGTCGACTTTGATGCACTTGCGCCAATGAAGAATGCTGGCCGTTTTGGGGTCGGTAACAACATAGTGTCATTGATAAGCATAGAGATCACATCCGACATCACTGGTCTGTCCACTGCGTTTTCTTGTACACAAAGAAGTGCCACGTGAATAGTCCTCAACAATTGGGCTACTACACAAGTATTTGCTAGTGTTGAGTCCTCGAATTCTAGTGCATCCCCTTTTTGCCATAGCTCCCATGCCTGAAAACCATTTCAAATGAATTAAGTGGACTCTGGAAAAATAGATTTCTACTAGACTTACATATCCGATTAGATTGACTGTCTTGTCAAGATAAGAGAAGCTGGTATTTCTTCTTCCACTGATGATTTCTAGGGTTAAGACTCCAAAGCTGAAGACATCTGACTTCACTGAGAAAATCCCTTCCATTGCATACTCCGGAGACATGTAACCACTTTGTAACATATATGAATTAGAGCCGATGCTTTAAGAACCAAATATTACTCAGACTGAAGGCAAGAAAAGTGGAGAAACCTATATCGATAGCATCAATTTATTTGTGAGTGATAATAGGGAAATAAGTGCAAGTGTGTAACATCATTTTTTTCCAATTAACGTAAGAGATGCAGTTTTCAAAGGGCATTCCAATAAGAATAGTGTTGAAATTTTTCATTGGACCGTATGATGTAGATTTAGAAGTACATTTAGAACGAGAAAGAATGGTCTTACTATGTTCCGACCACCCTCTTGGTCATTGCTTCAGTCTCGTTTTGTTTGAAGATTTTTGCCATACCGAAATCAGAAATCTTGGCGTTCATACTTTCATCTAACAAAACATTACATGCTTTGAGATCTCTATGGATAACTCGCATTCTTGAGTATTTATGTAGGTAAAGCAAGCCTTGAGCAACTCCTTCAATGATGTTCCATCGTTTTTGCCAGTCTAGGAGTTCCTTCCTGGTTTCATCTATTCAATATTTTTGCAAATCAGATAAAACAGATTTGCTCAGAAATTGAAATAGTTGTAGACTTTTAGCTTGTTAGTTTTTCTTAACAAAGATAAAGAAATCCAAACTCTTGTTAGGCATGTACTCATAAATTAACATCTTTTCCTCACCATGAATACAACAACCTATAACCTGGACAAGATTTGTATGTTGAAGTTTGGCAATAAGTATGAGTTCGTTCTTGAATTCCTCAAGCCCTTGTCCTGATGTTCTTGAAAGCCTTTTAATTGCAATTTCTCGTTCATCATTAAGCTTCCCCTTTTCTCATAAACACATAATATCTCGTTTTGTTAGTTTGTAGAGAGAAAAGCTATTAACAAGTCTAAAAAATTCAGCCATATCATGATAACAAATACCTTATAAACAGGTCCGAAACCACCCTCTCCAAGCTTATTTTGACTTGCAAAGTCATCTGTGGCAACTACTATAGAAGCAAAGCTGAACACCATCAATTCACTTCCTTTTCTGCCATTGCTTTCAAGATTACTTGCATCCTTGAAGCTTTCTGAAGCCATCAGCTCAAGAAATTACTCATCATCTCTCTTTTGTCTCTCCTCGACAATTGAATTCATGACTTTGAAATGAAAATAGCTATAAACTATGCAAGTAGATGAGATTAGTGTCAATATCAAGTGTCATACCTTCTTGTCTAAGCTTTCTCTTGTTAAGATACCACCATATACCGAAGCCAAAGAGAAGTACAAAAATGCCAGCGATGATGGGTGCCCAAATCTTGACAACATCTGTATGCAAGATTAAAACTATAAAGTAATAATTAACCCACAAACCATTGATTTGATCACGATTCCTTGCCTTTACTCGGGCTTGAAGAAACAAGCACGTACTTCGACAAAGAAGTCCCTTGAATATTGATTGAAAAGCTATCAGTTGATTTGGTTCCGGTCCATATAGCACAACCAGTTCCATTGTTGATGTTACTTGTTATAAACCCCAGGCAACTGCAATCATTCCAACACCTCACCATACAATCACTGATACTTAGGCTCGAGTTGAAATCATAGGAGTTTTTTATATCTAGAGCAAAATCTCCGTTCCTTAGATCAAATCTATCATTCTCACTCCTACACTGAGGTAAATTTGAACCTGCCACACACCCATTACCAGAATCATACCCATAACAGAAATTTGGGCTCCAATTTATATAGCTATCACCACCGTTTACAAATTGCCCTTGTGGAGTTAAAATCCACATGGGATGACCACCATTGAAGCTATGAAAACTGAAGTATCTTTCTTCATTATTGTATACATAACTGAGATTGTACTGGTATAGGCTGATTGGACTGTTTACATCCAGGAACTCAAATGTTTGATTACCTACATCTCTATTACTCCATTGCAGCGGGAACTCAGTTGTTTGATTAATCAAATCTCCACTCGTCCAGTAAGGCTTTCCTCGTTGTTGAATCATTAATTTCTGAGAGTTTTCTCCTTCGGGTTCCCAGCTCAAAGTAAAAGCACCCAAATCAGGGATGTCATCACTCAGCCAAGAAGTTAATTTCCAACTCTTGCCCATCAGCAACCATAGTCGAATGTTACCCTTTGGTCAACGAGTTTTTATGGTACCTTCATCGGTAGTCGGTAACATGTTCACTTGTAATTCGATTTGACGCGTTATTAACTACACTGTGATAATCATGTGATGAAGTCGACAATAATGAAGAGGCATGAAAAGAGCAAGATTCATGCCACTACGATGGTTAAGTTGTGGTCAATGTGATTGTCATGTGTACTTTGAGGGTAGTTCGTCAAGAGCTTATTGGTGTAGCTTATCTTACCGTGTGAGTATGATAAGGATCGAAAATCTTATCTTGTAAGAGTTATAGAGGAGAATCTTATCCGGTAAGTGAACGAAAAGACTATTACTCGATAAGTGTTTATCGGATAAAAGACGTTTACCAACAATTTATTTTGGTGAATAGAATATTACCTGACAAGGTACGTAAGAGTGGTGACTCTTGTTGGTAAGCCAAATACCCGGTAAGTGTTTGGTAAACGATCACTAAGTAAATTGATATCAATGGGTTTTTGTTTTTAACTGATACTACTTTTATTTATTTGGTTCAGTTCAACTTAAAAGTAACCTGACTTCAAACTTGAACACAAAAAACAAATATCAAATTTCCTTTTTATTTTTTATTTTTTAACATAGTTTTCTATTACTCCAGTGTCTATATTACTATTTTAGTTTGTCTTAAAATAAGTGTTGATTTTTAAAAGTAAATATTTACCTTCCTATTCTAACCTTAATTATGCAAATGAGGAAAATTTTCTCTATAGTTAAGGATAAAACTGTCTTTTGTTACTTAAAAGTGTAATAATTATACATTTCTAAAATTGTGTGCATTCTTATTGTAGACAAAAATTCCACGAATCCCTTAAGAGGATAAGTCCGACAACTCAACAGCAGTGCATAATTTTCAATTAATTTCAATTTAACTATTGGGAAAGAAAACGCAACAAGCTTCCGTTTTTATTTTGCGACGGGAGAGTATTAAATATATAAGCTATAAATCTTCGATAGTTTATAATTAAAACATAAGTAAAAAATTAATGATATATTGTTTTTACAATTTCTTATTTTCTAAATAGGCTTGTTTAAATAGGATGCAATCTATTTTCTATATAACGAATCATCATTCTACGGTCTGTTTGGTTTGTAGGATTGTTTTTGAGTGATTTGAATTTTATGGAGGCATTTGGATTTGGAGCGTAATGGATTTGAAATCATTGGTGTGTTTAATTTGTAGGATTTGAAATGAAATTGAATTTCATTATTTATAAATGATTTATATAAAAAGTTATTAAAATAATTGAATTACATTTTTATTAATCGATTATTACAAAACAAATGTTTTTAACATTTCCAAAAAACCTTATTGCATACAATCCTATGAAATCCCG